CCCCCGAACAAAAAAAAATTCTTTATTAATTCCATATTAGACCCTCAAATTTTGATCTTTCTAAATTAGAACCCCAGATCTACAAATTGGTTAGAAATGGAACTCTTATATAAAACAACTTAATATATTTTTGGGTCTTATTCAGAACCTTATTTAATTTGGGGGTTTACTTAGAAATATGAAGACTTGGGAATCTAACATAGAATTAACAAAGATTTGGGGGTCTAATATAACAAAAATACAAGAATACAACAAAGGTATGTTTTATATAAGAGTTCCATTTCTAACCAATTTGTAGATCTGGGGTTCTAATTTAGAAAGATAAAAATTTGAGGGTCTAATATGGAATTAATAAAGATTTTTTTTTATTTGGGGGTTTACTTAGAAATATGAAGACTTGGGAATCTAACATAGAATTAACAAAGATTTGGGGGTCTAATATAACAAAAATACAAGAATACAACAAAGGTAAATTGCAGACACTCCTCCTGTAATGAGGGTGCAACACCTATAACTCCCGATCTATTCTATTGGGGTGTGTGTTAATTGTTCCAATGAAACAATTTTATCCTTTTGGGATATTTTGAATGGTGTAAAGTGGGACAATTTAGGATAATGAGACAATTTCAAGCTTTGATTTTACAATTCATGCGGGATAATTGATGATGTGGCACCTTATTAAAGTACAATATTTATCTATCAATTAAGTTTAAATTAATTTACCTAATTGGTTTAGCATATTATTTGGTATCTTATTATAATGTAATACATTATTTTACTTTATACTAAACTATAATATATTATATTATAATTACTAATTAATTATAACTATATTTAATGTTATTAATTAATTTAATATAATATATTATAATAATATGATATATTATATAATAATTGATATAATATACAAAAAATATATTTAATATAATATTTCAATAATATAATATTTAATCAAGTATTATAATATTTTTTAATTCAATATAATATTATTTAGCATATTATATTATTATTAAAAATATAATATTTTATTTTATGTAATTACTATAATTAAAGTAGAATAATTGATGACATGTCTTCTTATTAAAATATAATATTTAAAATAATCATAATATACTATTAATATGTTAAATATTTGTCACGCCCCGCTTCCCAAAATACTGGACTATATTATAATACAATAATTTTATATCATAAAAGTACTACAATAATATTTTTATTCTAACTAATAAAATATATACTAAATAATATAAAGTAATATTATAATAATATAATACTAATATTATAATATATGAAATATTATTAACCAATATGTAATAATGATATATAATAATGCTATATTAGATAATATTATATAATATTTTACTATCTTACATTATAATAGAATTTTATAATATAATATAATTAAGATATATTATATATTATAATACAATTAACATATATTAGATATTTCATAAATTAGTGCTTCAAAATTATCCCACTTTCCTCATGATTGTCCCAAAGTTAAGGATGAGGTAATTTTTGAAGGTCCCAAAGTTAAAAATTAGGTAATTTTTGGAGGGTTGGGGCAAAAAGTTTGTATAGAACTGGGATAATTTTGGAAAAAATGGGGGTAATTGTCCCAATCTCATTGTCCCAATGAATAACACCTTAAATCCCAATCCCATTGTCCTAATAAATAACACCCTAAAGTAAAGTCCTAAAAATTATCTCACTTACTCCAAAATTACACCAACCAATAACCCCCTCCTTAGCACTTAAACCCCTCTAAAACTAAATCAAGGTTAACTTTTTTTCCTCAATCTAGAAGGCTACTTGGACGTTTTTCAGTTAACCAGAGCAAACAGTAACCAATCATCATGTGACCTGGGATCCACATGACTTCTCAACCTACAGGAGACAATAATGTTGTCTGGAATTCAAGAGGTGCAAGGGCTTCTAAAATAGTTTAGGGGGCTTAATTAATTGCACGCTCTAGTTAGTGGGAGGATATCATCATATAGCAGAAGGCAGGAGGCAATATGAGCCAAATAATTGTCGAAGAAGCACTAGCTACTTGTGGACAAATAACTAAATACAACGTATACCTCTCTTGTGCTGCTCATCATGTTCCGAACCTCTCAAGGAAGCTATGAAACCGTCGTACCCTACGGCCATCAACGTTTGAAGATGAAACTCCATTGGGAACTTTCCGTTTCTTTCTCATACGGACCAAATAATCTTCTGTATCTAGAACATACGAAGCCTGTGGCATATGCATTTATGAAAAAATTAACAGCAGAAAGACATTCACATGGTTTACATCTATAAATAACTCTGTGCTTGTACAAATTTCCTTTGCAGCATACCTTATAGGAGCTACAGGATATTTTGATTTCAAGGCCATTAAATACTTCAATCCCCTCCATAGCTTTGACAAAATCATCAGTCCCAAATTTTTGTTTGTTCCTGTAGATTTACAGCAGTGTCATGCATACAATCAGTACAAAAGTCCAGGATTAAGATGAACACCTTTCCGTACCTTTTCAAAAAGACCCCGGTCACCTCCTCATCTGAAGCGTTTGTTAAAAGCTCCTCATACAAGTAAGTGGAGAAACTAGGGTCTATAGAAACAGCAGTCACTTCAGGTTTTTCATGTCCATACTCCATCAGCTGAATTGATAATCTAGCTGGATTTGATGTCTGTAGAGAAAGCGTGGAAGTGAAAACATTAGATGAAGCACATGGTGTAAACATTGTTTTAAAAAGAAGCCCATTCTTATTAAGCATTGGGCTTTTAAAGAGGGTGTGGGCAGCTAAAGCAAATCACACCATGTTAAAATGAGTAAATTAGCTCCGCTTATGCAAAGTAACAGAAGATGAAAATGCACTGTGTAAAAATGGATCACATCAAAATCCAATGTATAAATCCAAATTATACAAAACACTGAGACTAGGCTCACAAATCTTCAAAATGGCGAGGAGGAGAAAAACTTTTTCCTCCCTTAGCCTTTTTCTTTTCTGCTGGAGCCATTGTCCCGAGTCCCAACAATCGTCAGAGTCACCTCCGATCACTGTCAAGACTTGCAAGAAGTTAATGTCTATAATTTATCATTATAGTTCTGTTTACGACAATATTTACAAATCTATCTCCTCCTCCATGATCTTTTCTGTCTTCGTTTTGTTTCTTTCTTCATGACTAAACATACGCCCTTAAAGAAAAAAAGTGGGGCAAAAAGACAAGAAGCGTGAGCGCCAGATCTGGCAACAAGAAGTGTCTAGAGCTTTCTGAAGTCTCAACCATTAGTAAATCGAAAAGGTACTTCAAAAGAAGTCTACATTCCATAACGCAGATTCCTTCTTAAATGATGCATAATGATATACCCATCGCCCCACCACACCCAAAAAAATGTTACATTAAAAAGTTCCAATTCCATATCCAGATTCCTTTTAAAATGATGCCATAATGATCTACCCAACCCCCAACCCCACCCAAAAAATTTAATTTAAATATAGTACACATAAGGGCCTGAGCACAAGTACCCAACTGCCTGCAGAAGCATTTCGACAAATATGTTCATTATGCTAAAGTTATGAAACTACTGCTCTTTGAACAATAAGCGTTCACTAGTAAGTAGCAATAGGAGGGAAAAGCAAATGTATTGTACACGAAGGTAAGAACCATTATAATTGTTCTTATCTAGTCTTAAGTTTCAGCCTCAAAACAGTTTTGATAAGGGTTCAATTCAGTTCATTGCAAAAGCTGCCCGCACATAAAGCTAGAAGCAAACCAATCTAAGTGACATTTGAAAAAGCAAAGGCAGATGAAACTTACACATTCAAATCGGTATATGCTCTCATCATGGAGAAGCACACGAGCATTTTCATGATAGTTGATATCAGAAAATCTTTCAGGTCTCCTAGACTTCTCATACAAATGGAGTTGAAGAAGCTTGTTGTCCATCTCATCAGATGCAACTGCTTGAAGCTGGGGGAAAAAACAAATGAGTGTACTTTTGCAGCCAATAACATCACTGAGGAGCCTGACAACCATAACACAAGAATATACCTGCTTAACAACTTTATATATCAATTTGTCCAAAGTGAAAAGCACGTAGGACTGAGTTCCAATGTGAGCACGGCAATCATCTTCAAACTTTGTATTATCAGAAGAACCACTAAGCAAACTGTATAGTGCTTCCATGAATCTGTTCCATCCAAAATATGGATTGATAAAACAAGTATTACATGGATGGAACTTTGTCTGTAGAAAAATAGTAGCAGGCATCATACCTGGAATAGGGACAAGAAGAGCTATCATCTTTTGATGATTTCCATTTTCTTTCAGCAGTCAATGAATTTGTCTTTGCTGAGAGTATCCTTTCATACAATATCTGCACCAAAGAAAAATGTCTATTCACAGATGCCTAACAAATTCGTTACAAATGGCTGCCAAAATAGTTCAAGTAAAAACATGTCTCACCTGATGTAGCCTAAAAAGTACATAGAACGAATCATTCCCATAAAATATACGTGAGCCTTTATCCTCCCTATCATCTAATGTGGAAGGCACAAACTTTGCTAGTGGTTTCACAGTATGCAAGAACCTCTCTGAGAAAGATACGGATGTAATTTCTCCCTCTGCATCATGTGCATCAGCTAATCCTTCAGCCTCACCCTCACTTTCAGCCTTGGCATCCTGGTCATCATGGTCAGCATCCTCCTCTTCCTCCTTGTGATCTTCATGAGAGCACTCCTCACCATCAGCAGATTCACTGCCAGAAGCATCTTCACCAGCCTCCGAGGCATTTTCACTGTCTTCCATAGATCTTTGGGCACTCTCTTCACCTTCATCATCAGCATCATTCTCTCCAGCGGCCTCACCACAAGTTTCTTCTCTAGTCTTCGCTTTAGGCACCACATCCACCATAGCATCTTCAAAGGACACAAAGTTATCCTCTTCAAAATCTCCATTTGGTGACAATTCACCCTCTTCCCTTTCAACTTTGAAGTTACTATGGTTACCAGAACCTTCATGGTATCTATTAGCTTTATTACTTTCACTGATGCCACTGCCATTTGCAGGAGCAGTTGGCCTCAAGTTGCCACCTCCCTGGACACAAAGGAAAACAATTACAATGATCATATATGTATGATTGGAGTTCTTGTCAAAAAAAATTATGATCTGAGTAAATATCTCCTACACAACAAACTAGGGAAAAGAAATTATACTGCAATTAATTTATCAGTAAGATAACTCCATAGGATGTTTGTTAGTTTATCCAACAACCTACAATAGATGGTCATATAACTCATATTAAAAGATAAAGGAACCAAATACTTAGTCAAGTAACACACTTAATCTTTCACATTTTAACTAGAATTTTACAAATCCATAAATACATAATATGAAAATCACAACTACAATAACATTTCATCTGAACTTACACAACATACGGCAATTATCTATACTGTACATATCCCAATTGTATAACAGGATAAAAACACAATATGAGAAAAGATAGTAACTCTGAAATGAACCGTCGGTAAGAGGTTAACTGAAGGTCACTTGCCAAGCACAAAAAGTATGGTTTGAGAGCATCAACTATACAAAGTAACACTTGTAGAAGGCAGAGGATAAGTAAAATGAATAGAGGTTATCTAATCCCTCCTGGATTTTGATATACTAAATAAAGTGTTCATATGCTTACTCATCCCTGTAAGTGATGTTGTACTGCCGACAGAACCACTAGAAGTGTTCAACATTCTTCCTCAGACAGAAAATAGTGTAGAAGGATTAACATCATTAACTTACCAGTCACCCTTTATCACTCATCCTCAATTATTATCGAGTGTTGTAGTATTGTAATAACCTCAGGGGTATCAACCAAGAAAACCCGCACAGATGAATATTTCTTTACTATGACTATAACCAGCGTCCCTCCCTCCTCTACTCCTCACTCTCTCCATTTTCATCTGATAACAAACGTTCTGCCGGCGTGATAGTTGGCGGGCTGTGGGGGCGGGGGGGTTTATAGCGGGAATCTCGTTGCTGTCGAGTCGGTGCCTGGTAGGACGGCCATCCAAATTCTATATCCTCTTCTCAGCCCAGGACTCAACTGATCACCAGGAGTTACTATGTATATTTCTCAATTGTACTGTTCCTCGTGCAGTGCTTATGTTAGTGTTTTATTCCATGTTCTCGCTTGATTATAACCCCCAATACTTTCCACATGAATGTCTTCTGTTTGCTTTCCCACTTGTTTGTGTGTACACAGGCATGAAAATTGTCAAATAAATGCCAATATGGGTTAACATTATCAACTCGACAAATCTAGAAAAAGAAAATGCAAGATACGAGTACAGGGAAAGAATCTAGAAACTTCTAAAACCAATGCCACCAGGAAAAAATGCACTCGAACAGTTGAAAACAATTTAAGTGCGAGAAAATAACTATCAAAAGAATATCACAACTTCCTTAAGAGAAAAAAGGATACCTCTGAAGGTAACACTTCATTGGCAAGGCAGGGCTCAAGCACCGTCTCTGCTCCAGTATGACCAGATTTCAAAGGTGGAACACTTGCCCCTGTAAATAACACAAGAATTGTATTAGTTTCTAAAGATGAGAATGACAACATAACAAATGGTTTAACAATATTTCTGCATTAACCTGAGGTACTTTCTGGGTTGGTTCCAGTATGACTTTGTTCTGCTCTACCAGCAACAGAAAGGTGACCTGCTGCAGCGTGGACAGTTACTCCAGACATTTGATCAGACGTATGAGCAGTGTTCTGAACTCTACCATGAAGTGGATTGCTACTATGTTTATCACTTCTGCGTGCAGATCTATCTGCATCATGCAAACCATTTTCAGTTACTGTCGTGTCCCCATTTGCTAGCCTAACCCTAGATGTGTTTGTTTGCTCTGCTGGAAGGCCATCATAGCTGCTGTTTTGTTTGGTATTAACAACACTCCCATTGCTTTCCCCAATATTTGCATGGCCACCCTTAGCAGCATGACTTTTAGACTTTGTTGCATCTTCCATATCCTCCGCACCATGAGGCCGGGGAGGGACACCCAACATTGGCTCCAAAAAGGTTGTCCAAATCTTCATGACTTTGTCCACCTGATCTGCGGATGTGCAGACTTCTCGACATGAGAATTTAATTATTTCATACAAGCTCTCATGAATGTCCGCATCCAAATACTCAAATTCCATGTTAGGAAAAATAGGTCGCCTATTTACAGCAGCAAGAGCAAGAAGCATGTCGTCCTCCTTCCACTTTTTCTCACTAATTTCCTTAATTTCAGCAAGCAAAGCTACAAGAGACAAAAACAGAATGGTGATTGCAATCAGCAAGCACAAACAGAAGTTGTATGATTCTTCTGAAGTGAACATAGTAAAGTAGCTGAATAGATCTTCAACAGACAACACTGATTACATGTCAACGAACTCAAATACAAAATACTCTCAAATTAACATACCTTTCGTACTCAAGCTCTTTGTGTCCTGTTGCTTGAAGTAGAAACTACGATGGTCAAGAGATTTGTGGTAGTTTTTCGCATAAATTTCAGCCCAAACCTTATTAAAATCAGAACGACATCTTAACCACTCCTCTTGCTTCTGCTTCAGTCGAGTTAATATAACAGGCAAAGCATGATTAGCATTCTTGCGAAGAACATCCATTACATCCAACCCATGATCCCCATATAATCGCTCAATACATCTCAAGTTTAAAGCTAAAGAGAGAAAATATTAAAAAATATCAGGATAATAATTACACAGAGATATCATAATTAAATGAGGGTACATATCATGCTGAAGTATACATACAAGTAAAGTGCTCTTCAATACGAATTTGACTTTCTGGTTTAATGGTACTGTCCTGCATCTTTTCTATCAACTCCTCCACTCGCTTTGTGGTTACGTTCACTGATTCTAGCAACATATCCAACTCAAACCTAACATTATTTCATGTAAAAAAAAGGAAGTTACAATAACAGATGGAAAGATGATATTAAAGCAGATGTCAAGCATTTACATACGTAGACAATACTGAACTTTTAAGTTTTTAAATAAACTAGACAAAAATAATACTTGACAAGGACAATACCTATCATCTTCACATCTAAATAAGCTTTCCTCATATTGGTTTTTACGCATGTGCTTGAAAGAATAATCTTCACTTCCCGAGGTCACAGACACCCAGACATCATTCAGTACCGATGCACCAAGATTAGTCCTGTGGCTTGAAGAGGGCATTGGATACTGCAAATACAACAGTAATAAAAGAGTATAAATTAACAGTCGAAAGAAAAAGAACTTGCAACAACAATATTAAGCACAAATTGTTGATTTTTGCGAGAGAAAAAAGGAAAACATAGTTTCCAGGTGTGAGCTGGTTTTGAGACCAGAGCTTTGCTCTACAATGAAACTTTACAGTAGAATGATATCCATTCAAGAACCAAAGGCCATAATCCCACTTACATGCTTTGGAAGGAGTCGGTAACTAGGAGTGCATTGTGCGCAATTTGAAAGATCAAGCTCTGATATTGGCTTGCACAAATTATATTTATCTTTGCTGAACAAAGGAACCTTGTGATTGGCTGCATCTTTAGAAGCATAAGCAACACCCTTATCAAGTCTTTCCCTGTCTTTCTCCCTCTCCCTTTCATGGTCTCTGTCCCTCTCATCCCTTTCACGTTCCCTTTCTCTATCTCTGTCTTCAGTTTTGACTGATCTGGATATGTGACCTTCATTACACAGCAATTATGTTAGTGTAGAACTGTAGAAAATTTATTTTGACTTAACTAGAAATAATATTAGTCGTTACCATATAACTTTAAGTTAAAGTATATACAGTGCTAAAACAATACAAAACATCTCATCAAAAGAAGAGAACAGATGAATAGGTTTTCACATACTTTTGCTGACTACGCCCGCAAGAAATCCATCTGAATAAAGATATCGATTAGCAAATAGCATTAAAAAAAGTACGATGAAGGAACCTCTAGGACAATACACAAGCCTACCTATATTTTCACAACGAGCCAAAAAATCGTTGAAGCCTTCCACAAGATCTGGATGCTTAGCAAGGAGATCAACCATCTAAAAATAAGTAAAGATTTCAGTAGGTACAATGAAATTGCAACCTTCCTAAGGAGACAAGATAAGATCATAAGACGTAATAGAAAAGGAAATATATTCTTTAATTTTTTAATTCAAAGAAAAAAATTACAGGTAACATAAAATAATTATGCACCTGTAGGAAAAAACAAAAGAAAAACACATAACTGCCTTAGCAATAATGCCTTCTTCTCAGAAAAAAGTGAGCTTACACAGGTAACCCTCCAAAGGCTTTTAAAGAAGAAAACCTCCAATTTACTAAATAAAATAAAATTCTGAGGTTTTGTATTTTATTTTGATTTAGAATATAATGAATGCTTTTATGTATTTCAATCATCAAACAGATATTCTACGTACACAAACCTAATCGAGTATACCTTTTTGAACTAGTAAAGGAATAAACGTGGCATATTTTCTATATTAGCCCCTACTCACATCATTTACATAAAAAGAAAGCAATTCGAAATAGGATTTCTTCTTTGGATTAATATAATGGACCAGTAAGCTGTCTGCTGATTTGACGGCATGCTAAATTTATTTGAAGCCATGAAAGTGTATAACTCAGAGTTAATACATTGGAAAATATTCATTACAGAAACCTGGTGTTTGCTTCAGTTTGCAATCGCCAGTTTAAACTCGTTTCAGACACCTCCTATACCATAAGATTTCATTTTCACCCTGTATATCTTGAATACAGTCCTTTACAAGTTTATCTCTTGGCAACAAACAGAAAATTCGTATCGACACACTGTTGAACATTTAAGTAACAAAACTAAAGCTAAATATGGGTGGAGGAAACAATGTTACAGAATCTTCGTTCAGTATAGTAGTTAGAGGATAATTTGGATTTCTGGACCTATCATCTTACTGCTAAACAAACACATCTTCAACATTAATCTTTTCCAGACTACAATTAGTGGGTTGGGTGTCATGACAATTGGTATATCAATCATATCTATACAGTAGTCCATAGGTCTTCGTTGGGAAGAGGATCAAATGCCATGTAATTTACAAAAAATATGACATGAAATTATTTATAAAAGGATGAGAACTCAATATGGGTCAAAATAACTTACGGAATGCTATGTGGTATGCATAATAACTAGCTAATTACATCAAGATAACCCGTAAAGTTAAGATATTGCAAATACTAGGAATAAACTAAATTAATACGAGTAACAGCGTACCAAATGCTTTAATTCATCTCTGTTAATTATTTCCTGACTGTAGATATGGAGGCATTTCAGAAACTCCTGATATCTGTCTGGAAGTTTCTCCTTGACTTTCTCACAGAAATTGAACTCTCGGACATAAACACCTGATATACATAACAATCATGGAGTGAATCTAGTATGATAGATCTGTCACAACCACCTAAGAATTGACACACGAATAGACAACAGACAGCTTCATTATTAAGTAAATCAGACTATTAACAATATCAATTAGTGCAGCAGAAAATAGCAAGCATGAAAATTACCCAAAAAAACGTTAAAATTATAGAAAAGCAAGTCCCTGAGGTACGAAAACCCCCTGTTATATCAAATGCATGGCAAGGATGGAGGTTCATGTATAACAATGTTAAATAAAGACTAATAAGTCAGCTACACAAAAGAAGAGAACATAGAACTATCACATTGATTAGAGAACATGTGGTGGACGCCTATTATATCCCATTTTATGATATAATACACAAATATCAATAATTTGTCTAAAATCTTAAAATGATGATAGAATTTGCTTTAGTTCCAGAAAGAGAATTTCACTTGGTACTTGACAGTAGTTAGAAAAGCAAGGGGAACCATTTTAAAGCATGCGTATGATGATTAAATGTACACCACTGAAAAAGAGCCTCAAAGTAGTAGGAACAGGAAAGATGAAAGAATCAATAGCAAAAATGGGCTCCAAGACCTGAAGTCGCTGGTATGGACAGGATTAGTAATGCATTGAGACACTTTGTCATGATCATATCAGAAGATAGCGACGATTCACCCAATGGAGGTCAACCAAGGTTGCAGTAAGCATATGACTAAGTAATAAAAAGAGGCATTTAGCATAGCCTATGAGTCAAGCATGCACCAGGAATCCATCACATTAGTACCTTATTTAAGTGACAACTGGTACTGTTAGTGACAAAAATAGCATAGATTCTAAAAAGAAGCATATATTCTAAAAACAACAACCGCGTAAGTATAAGAGAGAAAAGATAACATGCTTGGGTGAAAAGAACAAGAGGGGAAAGAAAATAAATCAGACTGAAATTGTAAAACAGAGCCGCTTTACAGAAATACATAGAAGAGTCCTAGCAAACCATGTTATTACTTGGTGTATAAATAAATTAGTTGGAACAAACAAGAGATTGCAAAAACAATGAAGCACTCACTCTTCCAGGCATTTTTGTCATCAAATGAAGAAGCTGACATGCTATATGTTCCAAAGTTTTCAGCAGAGTCTCCATTTTGCAGCATCTGTTCAGTAACAGACTCATCCCTTCTAGAAGGCTTACTACGTTTACGTGGCAAATTGTCTAAATCCCTTCGATCATGCTCTATATCCTTATCGTCCCGCTCATGGTCTCTTCTATCCCTCTCTTCTTTCCTATCCTTTTCCTTCTCAACACGCTGCCTTTGCCGGTCATGCTCTTGATCAGGGCGATCAACACTGAGGTCACGATCCGCGGGTGAATTATAGACTCTTTCCTTCTATAAAACCAAAAACAGCAGGGAGTGAACCCACAGCATGTTTGACAGGTAGAAGATAATGTATGTAAGCAACATGAAAATGTAGATGTATAAATAAAGCTATGCCATTTATTTTCCTCCTCTGACAAATTAACTGACATCTACTGATAAATGACTGGGCCTTGAAGCCAAATGTTTAACATTAAATAAACTAAAACCTATCCAGGAAAAAAGGAACTTCTCTCAGAACCTTATCTACGTAAGGAGCCCTCGAAGAGGGCATCATGTAGCTCCGATCATCCCTTCGCAGAAAGGCTCTACCAGAAGATGCATGTGGACCAATACCCACAGAGGTGTCAGGTAAAAAATGTCTGAACTCTTCAAGCAAATCATGATGATTTCGGAAGAGGATTGCCACCTGTGGAAGCAACAACAAAATTCGTATTAACCAAAGCACAATTTTGTGTACTATAAGCAATATACAACATATGCAAAACCAATGTACCTCCTGGTAAACTTCCTCAATGGATTTGCTCTCCCTTCTATACATATTTAAGATGTCTAAAAAAGACTTGTACACTTGATCATCTGACTGAAAGCGATTCTGCAGCCAGAAAAAGACTCGTCAAAAAGACTTTCCTAACATAAAACCTAAAATTAGATTCAATCGGATTCACGCAAACCTTAATTTTGTTTACAAAACTAATCGCCTCCTCAAACTCCACAGGCTTCTTCTCTTCAGGGAGCTTGATCTCATAACCCTTGGGAAGGAAGGTGTTAAACCCTAGAATCAGTTCTCGATGCCCTTTGAATAATTCTTTCACCCTAGCTATCACCCCAACAGTGTCAATCCTCTGGCTCTTGAAATCCTTCATGACTTCAAGGAATTCATCATATTTTTCCCTCTTATCCTGAAATATATCTTTCACGTTCTTTAAATACTGAAGGGCATCACTTGTTGTGAGCTTTGTAGAACTAGTAGCAGCTTCCGTTGAAGCAGCCATATGGGTTTGTCCGGACCTTCAACAAAACCAGTAACACAAACAGATCGCATCACATCATGGCTTAAATCACCATTTCCACGTATAATAAACACTTTTGATTGATAAAAGCAAATATTTATAAAAATGGATTCTTATCTTCACCATCTACCTTCAAATCCTAAACACTAAAGGGTCTCCCATCACAATCCAGTTCTAAGAAATCATACCCAACGTAAATAACTTTCATCAAATGTCAACATTAGCCCCCAATTAGCACTAAGAATAAGCGTAGCAATTTTGTAAAAATTAAATTAAAAAAGGAACTCCATTTATTTTCCCTCAACCTAATCACATATGGATTTCCCTAGACCTACAACAAAACCAAGAAATACCAACAAATCACATCAGATCATAGCTCAAATCACCATTTCCCCAACAAAACTAACACTATTAATCGATAAAAAGCTGAAATTTACAACTAACGAATTCTTATCTTCACCTCCTACCCCATCATAACCCAGTTCTGAAAATTTAAAATCAACATCCATCAATTTCATTCTATGTCACTATTTGCCCTAATTAACGCTCAAAACAAGGGTGCAATTTTAAAAAATTACAAATTTTTTTTAAAAAAAAACACCGATTTTCCTTTCCCTCAACCTTATCACATAATCACAAAAACCCCAAGCTTTGGGGGGAAAGAGAAAGTTTCCCCATCAACAGCAGCAAACAAATCAAAAACGAAATCAGCAAACAAAAAAAAAATCACATCCAGTCTCCAAAACAACCTACAAATCACAAATCGATCCATTACTCGCAAAAGAATCCACACACAGAAATCATTAGAGAGAGAAACTCACGGATCGGCTCTCGAGACGTTGGGTCGCTTCAGCTGAGACCCCATCAAACCCTAGAACAAGCGCCCCCTCAAGCTAGTCTCATCAAGAAATCAAGCATCCAAAACTTCCCATCATACAACAAAAAGAAAACCCTGGAGAAAGTATAACAATAAAAAATTGGACCCGATCCGATAACGAGGAGCGGTTGTAGAGCTCTCGAGAGAGGAAGCTTAAGAAATGAGAGAGACGAAGAAGGAGAGGAGAGAGAAGGGGATTATATACGTACATGGGAAGTTAAGGGAACAACCACGATGGATGAATCTGGGCCGTTGGATCGGAAAGCGGCAGGGGATTTCATTCGGTCAGGGGCGGGGGATGATGTGATCGGACGGCCGAGGATGCGGGTAGATGAGTGAGGGGCTGTTTGGTTGGTTTCCTAAAAACCAAGAAAAGGAAATCGGTACAAGGAAATCAATAAAATAATATTTTTATCCATTTCCATCCCTAAAACTCACCACAACATCTAATAAAATATTATTTTTATCCTCCAACTCATCTCATTTCATCTCCTTTCTTACCTTTAAAAATAAACCAAACACAAGAAATGTGTCACATCATCCAACTCATCACATCTCATTTTATCTCATTTTTAAAAATCACAAACATCATCCAATAATATTGTGACAACTCATCTCATCTCATTAAACATTCCTTTCCATCCATTTCCTCAAAAAAAAACAAGAAATCAATTTCCTTAAGTACGTGTCACATCATCCAATAATATACCTCCAACTCATCTCATTTCATCTATTTTCTTATTTTTAAAAACGAACCAAACACAAACAACCTCAAAACACCATCCAATAATATACCTCCAATTCATTTCCTTATTTTTTTAACCAACCAAACAACCTCAAAACAAGTTTTTTTAAAAAATCACTCACATCATCCAATAATAAGGTGACAACTCATCTCATCTCATCTCCTATTCTATAATTTCCTTCTTTTTTAAGCCAACCAAACAACTTCAAAACCATTATAATAGGAAATAGGTTTCCTATTTTTTGATTTCCAGGTTTTTTTTGGCCAAACGAACAGGCCCTGAGTGGAAATTACCCTGTGTAAACGTTTTTGGGTTTGGGTGGGAGGTTGTTGGGCTGGGCTTTGCTGTGGATTGGGGTCTCCCTTTTGGAGTGGGCTTTGGATGGGCTTAGAGTCTTGCCAGTGGGCCATGTCATGGGCCGATGCGACCCAGCCCATTTACATGGCATAGCGATAGGTTTGAAAAAATAAACGTATATGCGCGGATATGTCCGTATCCGTGCATGTTAGGATACGGATAGGTTAGAGATATCTGGATTTATATTTGAAGTATCCGGATATATGTTGATTATATAGTTACAACTATTTTATTATTTAGATTAACGAATTTTGAGGTTAAATCGAGAGATCTAATCTTATTTTTTGAGATACAAGAGACATACTACTGAACTTTCTTGCATCAAGATCTAATCTTAGTTTTCTTGAGTATTTTATGTGTAAATTATAAAAACTTTATGGTTCGTAAGTACACTTTTTAAAGGGTACATAAACCCTACCAAAACAAATGAGGATATATACATGTATTTTTAAAACTTTATTAGGAACGGTCTAGTAGGTCATATGACAAAGAAGTGTCGCTTTCTCGTGCTGGGTATGATTTCGATTTAGGGCATGTTTGTTTGCCTAAAAAAAGTAGGAAATTAAAGAAATGGAAAACTATTTCTAAGAAGAATTGTTTTTGGAGTGTTTGGTTTGCTAAAAAAAGAAGGAAATCAAAGAAATGGAGATGAGATGAGATGAGTTGTCACCTTATTATAGGATGATGTGAGTGATTTTTTAAGAAAAATTGTTTTGATGTTATTTGATTGGCGAAAAAAATAAGGAAATGAATTATAAGAAACATATTTCTTGTAATAGGTTGTTTTCTTTTGTTTGGTTCATTCTAAAAAATAAGAAAATAGATGAGATGAGATGAATTGTCATTATATTATTGGATGATGTGACCCACACTTAAGAAAATTATTTTCCTAGCATTTTGGGAGGAAATTGGTGGAAATGAAATGTTGACGAGATGAGATGAGTTGTCACCATCTTATTGGATGATGTGAGTGATTTGAAATGATGAGATGAGATGAGTTGAGTGATGTTATGGATGAAAATAATATTTTATTAGATGTAGTGGATGCGTTGTTGGATAAAAATAACATTTTATTAGATGTGATGGATGAGTTGTTGGATAAAAATAATATTTTATTAGATGTTGTGAGTGAGTTTTAGGGATGAAAATGGATAAAATTGTATTTTTTGAGTTATCTTGATTTTCATTTCTATTTCTTGATTTTTTAGGAAAATGGATAAAAATAAAAGCTGCCGCAGTCTCCGCAAAACACTAAACACCTGGCACGCCACACGGGTAGTCTCAACGCCGGCTTTTAGCAAAATCATTTTAATAAAACCAGTTAACGACAATATATAAAAATATGAGGGGTTTAAATGTTAAAAAACCGTCATGCAGCTTATAATTGCGAGGTTTCGTCCTTCTCTTGCTCACTCGCTGAGCTGATCCGGATCAGAGCAAAGGTTTGTTAGCTCTCTTCTCGTTACGAAACCCTAGAAATTTTATCCCAAAATCTCTAATTTTCTTGATCCGGTTCAAAGCTTTGATATCAAAATTTTCATTTTTTGTATAGTTTTCAAATAATTTTAGTTGTCAATTTGGGGCTCTTTCGTCCAATTTGAGCTGCCGATTACTGATTCTCTATTTTAAAGGGCACCTTTTTGGTGGGTTTTTCCTTTATTTTTAGGAGTTACCCTCATTTATATTTAAACCTACCCACTTTGAAAATTATTCTTAAACCCAAAATTCCATATTGAATTATTTTCAGACCCCGTTTCTGTGTTTGTTATAGTTTCGTCTAGTCTAATTTGCTATATTTTTAGTGCTATAATTTATTTCCCCTAATCACTCTATGCATGAAACTGATTTATTACAGAACTTGGGTTTAAACCTAATTCAGTATGGTATCTTTGGGAGTGGCTGGGTGAGATAAAGTTTGGATAAACTTTGGGTACATGAAAAGATGTTTTTTTATTTAGCTAGAAAATTTCAATTGTTTTTTTATATAAATTTATGTTGTTTTCTCCTTTATTTTCTGAGTGTAGGTACTCTGTGATGTTTGTATAGATTACGGGAGCAATGGCCCACGGTGACTTGAAACCAAGAGGTAAATGCTTTATTTCATCATGAAAAAGTTTCCTGTATAAGCTGCTAGAGTAAAATTTTAGTTTATGCTTGAAATTATGTATGGATGCATTTTTTTAATAATTATCTAAATTAACTAAATTGTTGCGTAGTAAATTGATTGGACTTTTAATCTATGTCTAGTTAAAGGCTTTAAACCGTTTAAGTAAGAGGCTTCTATATTGTAATAGCAAGTAGTGATTTTCTTCATACTTTGATGTATATTATGCGTTCACTAGAGTTTCGATAGTTGTCACATACATTAAGAATATGATATACTTGAATCTTTAACATTAATAGAGTCAATGCTCCTAAGTGAATTAATGAATTTAAGAGTGATTGCAGGAAGTACTTGGTTCAAGTCCAAGAGTGGTGTTCATTCATCATTATCACTTGTTAAGATTAGTTGAAGGGTTTATGTAATTACAGTTTCTTGTTAATGTCTATTAAGATCAAGATCACTTATCCACTTGAGCAACTGGGTTATCGCCTATAATATAACCATGTAAATTATGCACTTAAACCAGCTGGATCTTGGAGTCTTTAGAAGTTTATAGAAAGCAATTTATATGTTTACTATGTTGTGTGCACCATCTACTTATGTTTCATTATTGCAAATGAGCCTTTCACCTTAATATTTTTATGGAATAAATTTTCTTGCAGATGTATGTGTTGTTGGTGTTGCTCGTACACCTATAGGCGGTTTTCTTGGTGCACTGTCATCTTTACCTGCCACAAAACTTGGCTCTATTGCAATTCAGTGTAAGGATCATCCTTCTCATCACTTTAATATCCTTCTCTCCATTATTGCATACTGACATTACTTTGATGTTATTAAATTGTTCAGGTGCTCTGAGAAGGGCAAATATCGATCCGACACTTGTACAAGAAGTCTTTTTTGGAAATGTTTTGAGTGCCAATTTGGGGCAGGCTCCTGCCAGGCAGGCTGCTTTAGGTGCTGGAATACCTAACTCAGTCATCTGCACCACAATTAACAAAGTTTGTGCATCAGGGATGAAGGGTATGAGAAGACTTCTCTAGAGAAATTATTGTTGAATGTTTACTTGATAAGTTATATTTGTGACATGTACCATGCCCATTTACAGCTACCATGTTTGCTGCACAAAGTATCCAGCTGGGTATCAATGATATTGTCGTGGCTGGTGGCATGGAAAGCATGTCAAATGCCCCTAAATACTTGGCAGAAGCAAGGTATGTACTTCACCACGGAAAAAGGAATGTTTTATTTTACAATACTTGAGGTTGAGGATTTCTTTCGATGCTGGTCAAGCAAGGAACTTTATTTCAGAGAACTTTATTGCCACTATAGTAGTGTACTAACTATTGTCTTTTGCAAAGAAACTTACTTGCTATAAAATCCACAAAGGTTGCCGCGACCTCTAAATGATTTAGTGGTAGCTAGAGTTATCCCTTTGCATAGGTAGTGGAAATCATGCAACGTCTTTGTACTTAGCTCAGATGTCAGGCTAAGAAATATTTGTCCTCTAGAATTAGACTCCATTCTTCAACTCATATTGCACTTGGTCAAGCTTTTCTCCATCCACCTTGTTCGAATTGGTCCACGCATATCAGTGTTGCAACAGGCTCCAACCAAATAGGGACCACTAAGGTGTAGCCTCTATGCATATCATTGTTGCACATGCTCCAACGTATATTCTCTAGTTCATGTCCTTGTCAAGCCTAAAAAATCCATCTGCATTGATTTTTCTTATATTCATTCCCAGGTAGGTTCATGACAAAATTGCAGTTTGGTATTTACCCTTTTTATTTGAGGCTTCTACATGTGAATTTTACTAAGGAGATCTTTATTATATTCATTCCCAGGTAGGTTCACAACAAAATTGCAGTTTGGTACTTACCCTTTTTATCTGAGGCTTCTATTTGTAAATTTTAGTCAAGTGTTTGTTAAGCAATTATTGTCTCTGCTTCTTGGTTTCGTGGTTGCCCCAAATTCCTCATGTTTGGTGTTGATGGCTACCACTTGTAGCATATGCTCGACAGGTTGTATTGGTATTTTGTCACAGATTAGTCTATCAATTGTCTTAGTCTCACATTGGACTGTGTGGTTCATCATAAATCACTTGTAGTTTGTAAAAAGTCGTATCTGTGAAACTGTAACCTTTCCACAGCTATAATTGTTTTAAAAAAGGAGCCTTTTTTGCAAGTACAACTTCCCTCTAATTGGCTGCAAGCTGTTTTCTGTGAGAAAGACCCCTTTGCACCTGTAGCTGCAAAAAGACTACTTGCAGTGAAACAACCGATGACAAATTATATGTTCCTTTGTGTGTGTGTGTGTGTGTGTGTGTGTGTGTGTGTGCAAACTGCAACATTATGGATAAAATTTGCAATAAACCAAACAATGACGTCCTATGACCCTTTGGAGCTGCCACCCTCTTCTGTCCGTCTGTAACCTGAAGTGATTAAAATCCCAAAAACTTGGTTCCAGGGACAGCAACCAAGCAATCCGAGAGGTCAGTCATATTTGTCATGCCTTGTGTCCTTAAATTGACCCTCTCCTGGTAAATCTGCCACTCACTTTATTTCCATCGGTAATGGTGAGAATGAGCCCTGATTTAGTGAAGGTAGGCAAATAAACATACATTTTGTGTCATTCAAATTTTTCGAGATGGATACCAGCCTCGCAAATCTTGCAAACCATAACTACGGAGAAGATGAGGTTTAAAATAGAAATGTGATATCTATATTTCACCTTCTAGATTGTCAAAACCCCATTTTCCCTCCCTCTCTTCACAAGGGATATCATTTCAACAGGAATAAGTGTTGGTCTTGCAAGAATGTATTATGTAATTCTTATTGCAATGAGAAGATAAGCCCTATTCTCACCTCTTGTGGACCCCTTAAAAGGAGAAATATGTTTGATGGGTGGCAATCAGGAGTTGGTGGTATGGTCTTGGTGTGTGCATTTTCTTATCTTTGTCATGGTTTGAAGCATTGAGATTGAGTTTCTAGTTTTTTGGTATGTATAATTGCAAGGAAGAGTTTGTGGTGAAGACAAAAAACACGTAATGCTGTTCATTGCAGTTTTGTAGACATTTGTGCTCTCTTTTACACAATAATGACGCTATGCACGCCATCATTCTCAGATGTATATGGCCTCAAAACTTCAAATTCTAGGGATATGAGTTCTTTTATTTAACAGGCTGCACCTGACCATATTTGTGCATGGTACATGTTAAAGTTTCTGAAGGGTTAATTCCTAACTAGAACTTGCTATTTGTGTCCATACTAGGACATGGAATAATATTATTTATATGTTTGCCACCTTGAAGAACTGGTTAATTTTCTTTCTCAGCTATTTTTGTCTTGACTCTAGTTCAGTAATTGTGCTGCTCTTTAATTGTGTTTTTTCCCCTCTACAACACTATGCAGTATAGTTTTGGAATTTATGATATCAAGCTGTAGTTTAGTCTTCATTGGTGCAGATTTCTTTTAGACCTTCGGAGATAGTTATAAAACTCCTGGTGATGGTATGCTAGGTACTGCACTTATTGTTTGTAATATATGAAATCACGCAGGAAAGGATCTCGATTTGGACATGATTCACTTATTGACGGGATGCTTAAAGATGGTCTATGGGATGTATATAATGATTTTTCCATGGGAATGTGTGCTGAATTATGTGCAGATCAACACTTAATTCCTAGAGAAGAACAGGTGTCATTTATGTGCATGCTTTATAGTGCAATGTTTATCCCAAGCAGCTTGAGTATTTAATTTTGCTCCTTGTGCCTGATTTAGTACCCACAATTACCCGCAATGTATGTGATTTAAATATATAACAATATTGCAGACAAATGGTTGCATTATACTAATACCTGGAGCATGTAGAGGTCATGTATTGAAATGTATACCTCAAGTCAAACATCTCCATTGTTTTCTCTAGGATGCATATGCCATTCAAAGCAATGAGCGTGGCTTAGCTGCTCGAAATGCTGGTGCCTTTGCATGGGAAATAGTACCGGTATGCTTTATAACTTGTATGATAATATAAACTTGATTAATAGTTTAATTTCCATGGATTTGCCAAGTGCAGGTAGAAGTTTCTGCTGGCAGAGGAAAGCCTCCAGTACTTGTCGATAATGATGAAAGTCTGGAAAAGGTAGTTTCTCTTGGATATTGATATCCCCTCTTATAAAGGGAATTCTCTACTACTATCACTGAATAAATTTTTTTTCATGTACTAATCTGTAATCTTCTGTCGTGGTTAGTTCGACCCTACAAAGCTAAGGAAGCTCCGCCCCAGTTTTAAGGAGAATGGCGGTTCTGTTACAGCTGGCAATGCCTCCAGCATAAGGTTTACTTGCATTCTCTTACCATGTTTGATTTTTTAGAATAAAAATAATGTGTAATTTGTCTGTTGATTAGTTACTGTTTTATGTATAATTATTTGTGATATAATTTCTGTTTTCTTACTCCCAACTGTTTTGGTCACAGTGATGGTGCTGCAGCACTGGTATTAGTGAGTGGAGAAAAGGCTAAAGAACTAGGATTGCAGGTGATTGCGAAGATCACAGGATATGCAGATGCAGCACAGGTGTTAACATTTTTCGAAGAGGATTTCAATCATGCTATTTTAGTTGTCTCAGATGACGTGCAATCTAGGTTTTTAAATTTCTTTTATCTATATAGATGCCATTTACTAGAAACTAGGAACTTACTAAACTTGAGTAGTAGGAGATTAAGGACTCCTTAGTGTATTTCGAGCAAAAGAGTGCCCACATACACAATTTTTTTTTCCACCGCTACTCGAGCATGGGTATTGCACATGGGCTCATCAATATCATTACTCCATAGTCCATATTTTTCAACCCACTTTATATTCATCTAATTTAGATTTGATGGCTGTACGTTTAGTGGCAAATGTAGTAAACTAATCAATGTGGTTTATCCAATGGTTATGCTAAAAAACAAAATACACAGAACCTCAACCTAAGCCTTCGATTTATATCAGGTGTGTTTGGTGTTCTATGTACCTGTCCTTTTATTCAGGCCACTCTCATAGCTCTATGCCGTCATTATTATCATCAATCCAGTGGAAAGTTGAAAGTGTGTAATGGCAATTTGAATTTGTATCGGCAATTTGAATTTATCCTGCAGGCACCTGAGCTGTTTACAACAGCTCCGGCACTTTCAATACCAAAAGCTATATCAAATGCCGGTTTGGAGGCTTCTCAAATTGATTATTATGAGATAAATGAAGCGTTCTCTGTATGTTTCCTGCTGTCCATTTCTCATGCTAGTTATGAGAATTTACTTTCTTGGTATATCATATTCTTTGGCTGGATGCTTTAATTCACATATTGGTTGCAGGTGGTGGCTCTAGCTAATCAGAAGCTTCTCAAGATTCCTCCTGTAAGCTACCAAACTGACTTTTGGATCTTTATTCTCTTCCAAAAGACACTTTACTTTGGAACCATAGTAACTTATAATGTTTGCTTCATTGAGTGTTTACTTGAAACCCTCGCTCTGAATACATCCTTCCATTTTTTTGCCTGCAGGAGAAGCTTAATGTGCATGGTGGAGCTGTATCTTTGGGACATCCTCTTGGTTGCAGTGGAGCTCGCATACTTGTCACATTATTAGGGGTATATTATGGATATTTTATTAGCTCAGTAAATTTCCAGTTACCCTTTATTAGGAGTATATACCAGATAGTCATTTTTTTTTTAATTTGGCATGTATATTTACTTTTGTCGGTAAGAGGTGTTTGTTTTCTTCCATTTTTGTCTTTATTAATTTAAACGTTGAGGACATTTTTATAGATTTCATGATATCTGTCAAATTCAGTAAGAGTAATACTCTAGTTATGTATCTATTTAGAAAAGGAAGTATTTTTTGATATTAGATTGTCATAGGAAAAGGAGAAGCAAGTTTTTAATAAAAGACTATTAGATACGGTGTCAACTATTATCATTTTAGTTCTGATGCTGCACTTTATGTTTTGGCAGGTTCTTAGAAACAGAAATGGAAAATATGGGATTGCTGCAGTTTGCAATGGCGGGGGAGGGGCTTCTGCACTTGCTTTAGAGCTCATGTAAGCATTTGAGTTCGATTTTGTAATAGTTTCTGATCAGTACAATTCTTTTCTAGAAGTTTTCAGGGAACAGCAGTTCATTGTCATTTACCTTTGACCTGCCCGATGCTTATGATGCCGTCTTTATTTTAGAGTTATAAAGACTTCACATTTTCTGATATTCGTTAATTTGCTCTCTTAGAAATTCAACAGAATCATCTCAAGTTTTTTTTTTCTTCCTGAAGATGATATGACAAGGAATCCTTGTTTATATGCATCATATTAAGTTGCACATAGCATAATTTTTTTTTTCCTCTCAAGTGATGGTAACTTGCAAGTATATTGTATTTTAATGAACATTTTCTCAAGCTGGGTTGCTTTAATTCTCGAAGGATCCCTTAAACATCTTCGTGCTACCATTATATTACACGATTTGAGGGTTGGGTTATTTGTATGTGCAGGCCTCATACCGGATTTGAGCGGTCAATGCTATGAAATTGAGCTTGAGCTGTGTGTTGTAATAATATGTACAATATGCAAAGGTTCAAATGCAAGTACCATGTTAGCTACTCTTCACTTAATAGACCAATCCTCCTTTCTTATGATGCACTTGTTTCTGGTTGAGAAATGTGGGTATCGAGGGAAATTTGAATGGATAATTTTGATGCATGTCAATATTTTCAGACATTTAAACCACAAGAAAATAGTTACTAAAACTTAATATAATCAACAACCAGATCGATGAACCATCTGTGGTTACTATGAATGGAAGCCATTTCAAAATCCTGGGTAAGACACTCTTTCTTACATAAGACCTTAGATTCCATATAGTATTTTTCTTTAATGGAAGATAATTTATGATGGTTTTTGAATTTTATTCACTTTAAATATATGTGTTTTTAATAATATTGAAAGTTGAAGGTCTACCAGATGGTTGAGTTCAACAGGACATGTCAGTAACAATTGAGTTGAATAAAGTAATTAGCAAACTAATTAAATTGTAAAATATATTTCATATGTATTTGTACGCAACGAAAAATTATTTATTTCGAGTTAGTACATATTGTTACTCTGCAGGAACTTGAAAAAGAATGCTTGCAATTGTGCGTAGAGCAGAAAATAGCATATGATAACATCTTTGGTACCAAGCAAGAAATCTGAAAGTTCAAATTTTGATACATGCAATTTTGTGAACTATTGTACCCATAGCTCAATCTACAGCCAGAAAATATAAGGAAGGTGCAGAAAATATAAGGAAAATACTTGATGAATTTGTAAAACAAAGTACAAGGTGAACTTGTGTTCTTGTTTGTCATCACACTTGTTATGAGATTTGCAAATCCGAGCCCTTTGATAATTGACAAATTAGCAAAACAATGTAGAAGATGGAGAATATGGCTTCTTCCTTGTAGTTACAAATAGTTTAATTGCCATATGTAGAATGAGTTACCTTCTGTCAATGAGTTTGCAACTAGATCTTATTTGTATCAGGGATGAACAACAAATATCACAAGGCGTAATCATGAACAGGCTACTTGAAATTTCGATAATTCGCCTTCAAACTTATGTTCTGCTTCCTGTTACAGAAGGTCATTTTCATGACAGGAACAGTACATATGAACGTACAATATGAGACCTGATAACAGATACTGGATCAAACTCAATATGACAAGAAAATTCAGACTTCACTGGAATCCAAGCTCGAAACCAATTAGTTTACTGGATCTGGATTCTAATCTCACATGCTGACTCTGATCATAAAGCCTGAAAATTTCTGATTAGAGAACTTGCCATCAAGCTTGGTGAGTACCATTTATATCCGCATCCATTTCCTTTCGAAGATCATACTCAACCACAAGTCCAAGGTTGTCAACCAGTTTGTGATTTGCCAAACAACCTGCACACTGTTAGAATGATGATATCAATCTCCAAGAACCAAATTTCAGGCGCATAAGATGAATTTTAACATTCTTACGTGAATAATTTTAGGATGCATTGGTTATGTTCGCGAGACAAAAAAATAGTCAGTGATTTTTCTGAGAATTTTATGCGAACAAATTTTCAAGTGCATTTGTAAAATTAGCCAGATTAGAAAACAGCTAAACATAATTGTTGAATTGAAAAATGTTATTCATAGTTATCATTGTCATTAATAGTTTTTATTGGAGATATGCAACATTTAATTAAGGCAAATTAACTTGATGTAACTAAGGCAGCCTCAGGCAGGATTCGAACTCTGTGTTACTCTGAGAAAAGGGTCACTCCCGACCAAGGATCACTCGATGCAAAAAAAAAATGTGACTTGATTCAACACTCAAAATTATTCATGCGCGCGTATACTTAAAAAATAGTAAGTATTATCAGTTGAAGAAGATTGTCCAGAAGAATAACTACAGATGCAAAAGGGATTGTATTGTATACCTGTACAAAGACAGTACCCCGTTCGTATGCTACTCTGTTTATGGTGCGTTCTGTTCTTTCCCCACATGCATTGCACGTAAATTGTACGAGCAAACTTCTTCGTGGAAGCTTTAAATCAAAGGATGATTCCTTTTAAGAGTCCAAGAGTAAAAGTCAGTCTCGCTGATTAAAGAAAAAAAATTTGGAACGATGTCAATTCAAACCAAAAGGAACACTCGAAAGATCACGAAGAAAGGAATGCCCCAAATTTATCAGAAGAACTGATTTCGCATTAAACATGACAAGGATTTGATTGTTTTCAAATTAGTGAAAATTAAAAGCGGTTATTCTTTTTTGATAAATCCCTAGTCGATTGCAGTATCCATTGTAGAAGACACACCACGAAGTTTTCAGCCCAAATCTTCGCCTGAGATGTATCAAAATGGAAAGGTATTCACCGTCATCACCTCTTACTCAATCAAAATATCAAGATGGGATCTTTCGCGGTGGATAACTAAGTGTCAAGAAAGCTTGACAAACCTCTACCACAAAATCTCCGGTCATGCAGGTGAAGCTCATGCAACCAAAGGAACAATCCTCAAAATTACCTAGGCCCTAAAAGAGTCTACAGAGTTTCGATGGCTAGGTTAATTACTACTGGGACTAAAAACAAAAGTTTATAATGGAGAAGGAAGGCTAACAACATTCTCAAATGATAGGTTTAAAATGTGCTTCTGTCACAAAAACTCCACATGTAACGCAAAACAGAGGCATGTTCGGTAAAGTTCCTACTCCGATTCTAGAATCAAAAAATTGTAGATGATCGTTCTAGTTCTAATCAACAATCCTCAACCAATAATCCCCCTTAAGTGAATCATCTAATAAGTCTGAATCTTTCAAGGGAATTCGAAACCTTTTCGCCTAATCTAAAGCATTGTTTATTTTTGCAACAAAGCAACTTCACAGACTAGAATCAACTTCATCAACTAACAGTGCCTTTTATGTGTTTGCCAAATTGCTTCAAAGAAGATTCACCCTAACAAACCCTCATCTCTTCTCAAGATCACTTCTTTTGCATAGAATTCTCCTCAAATCCATCCAAACTTCCAACCCATCAAAAATAGTAGGCTGCGATTAACATGTAAAAGAAAGTAAATAAGTAATAAAAAAAATTGAACCTTGGATGAAGAGCTGTCTCCCCCAAAATTCTTGCCATTAGAGCAGCTGATGATTCTGGGCTTCCCTCTGCGAGTGGAAATCAGCAACCTGAGGTAAATAACAATAATAATAATACTGTGTCAATCGAAAAGAATTGAGAAGGGGGTGGAAGTGCAAAAACGAAAAAAGAGGAGGGTTGACCTGCAAAAGGAGGGTGGCTTTGAGGGAACGGGGAGAGAAATAGAAGGAAAGGGGGAGGTAATACGAGTTTGTTTGGGGGGGTTTGCGCAAAAGAAGCTCGGAGAGAAGAATCCATGGACGTTATTTGCTGCTAATGCCATCTCTCTCTCTCTCTCTCTCTCACTCATGAGAGGGGAGAATAAGAACAGATCGGGTGGGTAGTTGGTGCGGTTGATATCCGATTACCAAAGCCGACCTGTTATCACGTTTTGGATATTTACAAAAAGATTACCCTCTAGTTATAAAACTTAACTTACAATTAAGTTCTCCTTTTCAAAATGTTGGGTTATTTTTCAGAAACTCTAGTGATTCGGTTTAAGCTCAATTTTACATTTTTGTTTTTTTTAATTTAGTTTCCCAATTATATTTTGAGTCCGGTTTTTAATGTTCAATAAGGATTAGAAAATGGCTGGGAATAAAAATTTGTGGAAAACAAAAAGTGTCACCCTATTGATCTCATAAATTTTTGTTCGTAGATTTTTGGTTATTTTCTATAAATCCTTTCATTTTAGATTTCATATTAAGTGTTTTTCTGTACTCTTCGATTTAGTTTTGAGAAAGGCAGGAAAATGCTTGAAAGTAGAAATTCATTTAATTTGCATTTGAAATTTAATTAGGAGTCTATAATTTTTTTGCTCAACTTTCAAGTGGAAACAAAGTCATTTGTATGAAGTTAGAAGTTGCTCTTGTTAAGGAGAAAAATGAGAGGCTATGATTGAGATTTGTCTTGTCTCGTACAATGGGGGTCAAGGAATGTGCCAATTCAGAGAAGTGAGAAGATTATAATTAATGAGGAATTATCAACGGAGAAAAGATGACTACATGTAAATCTAATGCAAGTTGATTAGCAGCAGTCCATAAGAATATGGCAATGATTTACTTAGTGGAGGAGATAACTCTCGGTAGAACTTTGTGGAAGCAGGGGCGGATTGACATAGTGCTCTAGCGGGGGCACCCATAAGGGGGTGTTATTGGTTAAGACAAGTTGGGGCTAAGTGGGATAATTATTCCAATGAAACAATTTTATCCCTTTCAGATATTTTGAGTGGTGTAAAGTGGGATAATTTAGGATAATAAAACAATTTAAAGCTTTAATTTGATAATTTATTTGGGATAATTGATGATATGACACCTTATTAAAGTACAATGTTTGTCTATCAATTAGGTCTAAATTAATTAACCTAATTGGTTTAGTATATTATTTGATATGTTATTATAATATAAAATATTATTTTACTTTATACTAAAATATAATATATTATATTATAATTACTAACTAGTTATAACTATATTTAATATTATTAATTAATATAATATAATATATATAAAATAATGTAATATATTATGTCAAATAGTATAACATAATATATTATAATAATATGATATATTACATAATAATTGATATAGTATACAAACAATATATGTAATATAATATTTTGATAATATAATATTTAATCAAATATTAGAATAATTTGTTTAATTTAATATAATATTATTTAAAATATTATATTATTATTAAAAATATAATATAATATTTTATTTTATGATAATTACTATAATTTAAATAGAATAATTGATGACATGACTCGTTATTAAAATATAATATTTATAATAACCGTAATATACTATTAATAACTTTAATATTATTTATTAAAAAATATTATTAAATGATATATTATATTACATTAATTATATATATTATCATACTTTAATATATAGTATATTATTATAATTTTTATTATAGTAATAAAATATTATTTAATATTATAACTACCATAATATTGACAATATATTTAAGACTATTAATTAATATAATAAAATATTATAGAAAATAGTAAATTATATTATAATATAATTAATATATTATTATATTAAATATATAAACACTATATTATAATACAATATTATATAACATAAAAATACTATAATAATATTTTTATTCTAACTAATAAAATATAAATTAAATAAAATAAATTCATATTATAATATATGAAATATTATTATCAATATGTAATAATGATATATAATAATGATATATTAGATAATATTATATAATATTTTATTATCTTATGTTATAATAAAATTTTATAATATAGTATAATTAAGATATATTAAATATTATAATATAATTAACATATATTAGATATTTAATAAATTAGTGCTTTAAAATTATCCCACTTTCCTCGTGATTGTCCCAAAGTTAAAAATGACATAATTTTTGGAGGTTGCGATAAAAAATTTGTATATAAATAGAATAATTTTAGGAAAAGTATGGGTAATTATCCTGATCTCATTGTCTTAATGAATAACACATTAAAGTAAAATCCTAATACCATTGTCCTAATAAATAATACGATAAAATAAAATCTTAAAAATTATCCCACTTACCCCAATATTACACCAACCAATAACCCCCTTAGAAATATCCTTGAGCGCTTGATAATATTCAAATTTGTCCCCACAGTACAATTTGCGCCCTAGCAGGCCAGCCCTAGTATGACCACAAAGTCTAAGCAGCCCATTTAGATTTAACCATTTCAAGTAAGCAATCTATATATAGACCTTCTTCAACAATTAGATTGTATGCATCCAAACAATAAAAGCCCAAATACTAAAAACTTAAAACCCAAACCAACGCTCAAACATTAATACCACAACTCTCTTCTCTTTTGAGATTAAAAGCAGGTAAATTATTAGTGAAAATACTCATTATTGTTTATTTATCACATTGCATCCAAAATCTGATGCAATGTAGTTGATAAACTGTATTGAATGTACTCCCATTTTGTAGTATAGTTAATATAAAGAATTTTTTCAAAAAGACCTTTTTTTCAAACTTTATTTTATGAGCAAAATCGACCTCTTTTGAAAATAATTAGCAACATTAATCTCTTTTTTGTCACATCATCAAAGCTAGCCAAAAAGATATCGATTTTGTAAAATATAGTACTTAAAATACAATGGACTACTAGTCCCATCTATTTAGCAATCGTTAATTACAGAAGATGTTCAAGGCACAAAATACACAAGCCTATTAGTCCCCTGTATTTTGCAGACAAGTCCAGAAAATACACAGGGCTAGTATACCCTTATATTTTCTGAACATGCACAAAACATGCACATTGATTTTATAGTTCACCTCTCGTGCATATAAAATTTCCAATTCACATCTTGTACATATTCAAATCAATGTTATAGAAGATGCTAGGCAGATTAGGCGTTTGAACCAGTGCCTAAAGCCTAGACGTACGCCTAGGCATTTCATTATTTTTAAAATTATTTAATTATTATAATTGATAAAAATATATATTAAATCCATATAAAGTTAAAAAAAAAGATAGCAATCTTAGATCCACAATAAATCATGCATACTTATATATTAAATAGCCAAAATAATAACTAACAAGGTTATAGAAAGTGCTAAGAGACCTAAGTGTTGAACCCGATACCTAGAGCCTAGGAGGTTTTATTTTTTATTTTTTAATTACGATAAGTAATAGTAAATGTCAATGTTATAGAAAGTTTAGGTGTTAAACTAGTGTCTAGGCAGATGTCTTTCTTCATTTAAGTGGTGGTCGATGAGGTTTTTCTGAAGGTCGGAGGAGATAGTGAATGTGTTCATATTTAGAGATTAAAGGAGTTTGAATGAGGTTGGATGACGTGGAGACTACAATACAAAAAATCACGATCAAGACCTAAAGGGTGCATGCAGTCCATATAAGCAGACGATGCCCCCCTAAATTTTTCAAAACCTAGGTGGGTAGCTTAGGTACCACCCAGACGCTAGTTAGGCGACCTAGGTACTGACTAGGCCTAGCGTACACCTAGGCGGACTACGCGAACATTTTTAAAATAGTGATCCAAACATGTAATTTCCATAAACATATAAATTCCATAAATTTCCTGTATACAACTTCATACATAGCGCACCTGTGATTGTTGATTGCGTGTGGGACTACAAAATTGCGTGTGGGACTACAAACTTTAAAGAAGGCCACGTGAAAAGATAATGTCTCAAGAGATAACGTGTTTTCTTCTTCGTGTGGGGGCCACAAGTGTTCGTGGGAGAATTCCATTGGGTTTTTTCAATTGTTTCCGCATGAAGACTTCGGTTTTGTCCAGCGAATAAAGTGAAAGCCCACCCGATTGACCATACAATGCCTATTAATACCCTAAGGTTGCCTAGGGTTTTCGGGTGCAAAAGAGCAGAGGGCTTGGTGAAAACGAGGCAGAGGGGTTCGTGCGGCGGCTTTGGAGCAGTGCGAAGGAAACTGTGAATTTTTCGGCTAGGTGCAGGAAAATTTTGTTGGTGGCTACAGAGAAAAACACTGCTGGAGAAAAAGAGTCGGATGTCCCTTTGTAGAGAGAGATTAAAAGGGATTTGAGAGTTTGTTTGTGAGGGTTTAAATTGAGTGATTGTAAACCCTAGTTGTATTCTCTCCCCTCTAATAGTAGATCCCCCCTCCTTGCCCCGTGGACGTAGGCAGTTTGCCGAACCATGTAAAATTAATTGTTTGAGTTTGTGACCATTGTAATAGTTTTAGGATCCCTCGACGCGCAGTCCTAGAGCTGACGAGAGAAAGAGCAAATATCCCACTTTGATGGGATATTAGGCTTCAGATTCTTGTTCCCTTTGAGAAACAATAATTCTTATCGATCTTTCTCTCTTATTGTGCACCAGAAACTCTGCCGAAATTTTCGCTGCGCACAACAAGTGGTATCAGAGCCCAGATTCCAGATCTAGGGTTTGGTTGGAGGAGTAGATCAATTTGGAGGCTCGTCTAGGGCTTCGTTTGGTGATAAAGGTGAGATCTTTTGGTAAAGACTCTATCCTTTCAGTTTTGGATCTATTCCTCGTTCGTTGGTGCGTAAGATGTCGGGGAAAGAAGGTGCTTCGGGTGTCGAGGGTGGTTCTTCTGGCGCGAAGACCATTCAAAGTCTGAATATCCACTCTATGAAGATAGATGTGGAGAAATTTAATGGCACAAGCAACTTTGGATTATGTAGATGCAAGGTTTTGGATGCGCTGAACGCGCAGAATTTGGAGGATACCTTGGAGTTAGATGGCAAGCCAGATGAGATTGAAGAGAAGGTTTGGAAAAAGATGAATCGAACGGCGTATGGTGTGATTAGA